GTTGGAAGCGTTCATGAGGACTTCAGAGGGTAGCGTGACTGTGAAGCCATCTTCTAGCACTATCGAGAACGTGCCGTTGAAAGCGTTCTTCAACTTCAGAGAATTATCGCCCCATGTGTTGTCCTTCTCGGCGCCCAGTCGTTTGATGAAGTTTTGGGTGATCTGATACGGTAGGGAGAACGGAAACTGTTCAGTCGTAATCTGGGCCTCGAAGTCCTCTGCCCGTGTCTTCATATCAGTGAAGACCGTGTTATCGAATAGTGATACGTTTGCGTTATCTTCAGATTTGGTGATGACGATATCCTTGATGCGGACGCTCATTGGACTCGGATTGTCGATGTTCATGGCGTATTTGTGTGTCTCTCCCGTGAAGCGACCTGAGTCGTATCCCCCAAAGACATTGCTACCGTTAACTGCGCCTCCGGCACGCTTGAATCCCTGTCCGATGTAGAGCGAGTATGTTTTCCCAGCAATGATGTCTTGTGCAGCCAGGTCCCGAAGGAGAGTGGAAGACAACCCCATGCCAACTCTTCCAGGTGTGATTGACCCCGATTCTGCGACTTCGATCGTGCTGTTCTCTACTAATGTTTGTGATGCACCGTCCGTCTCGAAGTAATGTGTGTACAGTCGTAAGGTCTCTCGACCGAAGAATGCCGTGAAACCCTCTTGGTCATCATCCAAGGTCTGGAAGCTGTCATCTTTCACAAAACTATTTTACATGTCAGCTAACAGGTTAAAGTATCATATTGACAGTCAAGCATACCTAGTGGAGTCGCGATCGTTATAGAAGCCCCCTGTACTCGTGGCACATTTGTCAAGAGTTGTGTTCTTGCAGTAGTTACTCGACGCGAAAGAGATATGGTTCTGTTGTAGTGATGGCCAAAGACTCTGGTTCTGTGCTGGCGTTCCTAGTCCGATGAAGGATCCATATTGAAATTCTGATGAGTCGTGTACGGCCCGCTTGTGGATGTCGACGTATATTGGTTTCTTGGTGCAGTTTGAAGCAATTGCAGACTGAGTGAACAGCAAAGTTGCGGAAAGGCACAAAACGAAAGACGCCATCATGGAAGATGAGAGACGCTTGAGTCCAGCAAGCTGAAAGCAGGTAACAAGGTGTTGGACAACGCTTACAACACCAACAGGCCAGGTGAACGACGACGATGACGAAACGTCTCAAACTCGAATTGCGGAGGTGCCAGAGGCTGTAGGATGTCTTTGTAGGCCTCCATCATCTGTACCTTGATACACTAAGATGAGCATGCGGACAGTCAGCCAGTTAGGCAAGGGCCCAGCTATTCTTGCATGCGGGAATATCCACACTGCTTCTGCTGGACGCGCATGAGTGCATCCCTGGGCGCCATCTAGAGCCGCATGGGACTGAACCGCTGCCGAGAGCGCCTGCTGATGCCGTTGTGGAAGTACCACGACCTGGGGAGATGCCCCCATGGGCGCTTTGAATAGAAACATGCGCCAGGAAGAAAGATGATCCCTCTCCGATGGTAAACTTTGCCGTCGCAGAGACACTGATGATTGGATCGTTATTGTAGGCAGTTGTACCAAGATAGCGGGCGTTTACGAGACCAGGCTGATTGGGTAGGGTTGTCTCGCGACATTTCCAAGCGCCCGCTGCACGGACCCGACTGCAGGTGTGGATCTGACACCAGTCGCTATTCTTAACCTTCCGCTCACCATAGTCTGCAATCTCAGAGGCAGGTAGATTGCGTACCCGCTCGGTGAGATTCTGATGCGTTCAAGGGAAACCCTCGGAAATAGCCGTGCAATCTCAATCCCGCAACCCCGCACGACGTTCTCGTTGTTGCTCACGGGCTAAAGCTTGTCTACAAAGTGGATGCGTGCCAGCGTAAAGTATACTTGGAAGACACTGCATTAATTTTGACTCGTTTTTAGATCCAGAAGGAGCAGAGAGCCTGATTGCTCTGCAAAACATGCTCGCGCGATAGCATGATCCTTTGACGGCTGCGTAGTGTGTGTCAGGGCTGCCTTGCTAGGGACGAAGGGGTGTAACAAAGCGCTTGCACTTCTACGGTGCTTACGCCATGTGGAACACGCAGTGACTTCACGCATTCGTCTCAATCGCTGCACTGCTCGTTGCAAGCATGTTGACTCTGTTCATAATGGCATTTCATGCATCACACTAATGCCCTAGTTACTGGGTCACAGCCATGTGGTACATAAGATCCACTGCAGCGTGGACGCGTTCTTCATTGCGTGAATTTGACGACTTCCTATAGCTCCTGGAATAAGCTCGATTCTCCACCTCCTACAAAGCGTGTAAATATGGACTGACTTTGAAAGCTAAAATATCGCTTGATGATAACTTGGAGCACCTTGAACCTCAGCCTTGACCCCGTACTCCTTCACCCGCTATGCTAAAAGACTATCCCACATATTCCACAGGTAGTTGGCGCCGGGGTTTACCGACATGTATGAAAAGTTGATGTACATTAAGAGCAAAAAGGGAAACGTCCAGCTGAACGCAACGTTGAGCGTTGAGACTTTCAGGTGTTGACAAGCACCCATCGCTTCTCTTTCTCGGTAGGTCCTACCCTTGCGGCAACTACGCTCAAGGTGTTGCTGATGGCGTCCTTAGGTAGTTTTGGAAATACCTTTTTCAATGCCTCAATCATGCCAATCTTGGTCAGATCTTTGCCCTCAATTTCGGCCTTGAAAGCTTCAAGTTGCTCAGTGGGTACCAATCGCTTAGCTTTTGCAGGCTTAGTTGGAGTTCCTCCTGTTGACTTCTGTGGGCCGTTCAATGTGTTGAGCAGACCATTCATAGAGCGTTGGACCAGAGGTACCCGCGGAGGGTTCATGGCGCTCTTAGTGTCTTTCTTCGCAGCAGCGGCGGTACTTGCATTGGTCGCAGGATCCGGTTCCCAGTATGCCGTAGAAAACGGATCGATTGAAGTCATCTGCGGATCCAACAGAAAGCCCATTGAGAACCCCTTGAAGTCGGTGCATATAGCATCTGAACCATCGTTCAACCTGGAAACCCTATCGGCATCCTCCCAGCACAAGCCGGTGCTGACAGGAACTAAATCACCACTAATGAGTCGCCGTTTGAGTTGTGGGTCTTCTTCATCATCGAGGAAACCGTCCAAGTCGTCTTCTGCATCTTCTTCGTTGTCGTCTTCGCCGTCAGAGTCAAGGTCTTCTCCTTCCTCGGGTTCATCCCATTCTGCTTCAGAGTCGTAGTCATAATCGGTGTCCTGTCGGACCCTGGCAATGGGGTTTCGTGCGAGCCGAGAAGCTTCCGCGTCGGTATAAGGCCTGGTATAGGTGCCATAATACGGGGGACGTACATCCTTGCAGAAGTGTATGTACTTCATTGGGATCTCTCTGAGCATCTCCAACGGGCTTCTGTGGACAGTCAAATCGATGGGACGGTCCGATGAGCCATTCACACGTTCGATAACTTCGGCGATGGTCGCAGTCCGATGCGCTGGTCGAATCCGTCGCGGGAAAGAAGATACTAGGGTCTCTCGTGTGATGGTCTCGGTACCGGTACCGTTGTGCGCGATAAGGTTCTCTAGCCGTGTTCGCGCAGCCTCCAGCCGCTCCGGATCGTCGAGCAGAGGATTTATGGGAGCGAGGATCGTATGTGGAGGGAGGTTAAACGGTAGAAAGTATCGCTCGTAGTCTGACTGAGCGTTCTTGACGATGTTCTTCTGTGGGGATGGAGGGGCCAAATTAGTTTTGACTCCGGATGCGCTAGGTAAAGATGTGGACGAGGCAGTAGGGTTCTGGGATGAAGCTACCACGGCCTGTCCTGGGCTTGATCCCGCCTTTGGCTTGACGAAAAAAGCGTTGAGCTTCATTTGGGACTATCCAAAGGTTAGCACTGTTCAGGTCGTACTACAAGGACGATGGTCGACTTACTCGTGCCTTCTTTGCCTTCTCCTCCTCTACCCGTTGCTGTTCCTCCTCCTTCAGACGCTTCTTCTCATCTCGTTCCTCGTTCTTCTTGCGCTTCTCCTCTTCTCTCTGTGCCTTTTGTTCTGCCTTGACCTTCTCCTCGGCCTCCTTCTGCGCCTTCTTCTCTTCTCGCGCCTTGGCCTTCGCTTCCTTTTCTAGACGCTGGGCTTCTTTCTCTTGTGACGTCAACTTGCGCCTTTTGGCTGGTTGTGATGGGGTTGGAGCAGAGACATTGCTGCTGTTTGGGGCGGTTGAACTCGGAGCGCTGCTCTTCAGGGGTGACGGGGTTTGAACCGAGAGGATTGAGAGGGGTGTAGAGGCTTCTGATCGAATCTGTTTTGACGGAGTTGATACGGTAGGCTCGACATCGTCGTCGTCGGTGTGTGGACGCTTTTGGGGCAGCGGCGCAATGGGTGTGGGGTCCTCCATAGTGTACGGTGGTTGCTGAAAGTGCGGCCGATAGACTTTGCAGGTCTATCACGAGTCGATAGTGAGGGGGCCGACGCTCAATTCTGAAAAGGTTGTTGTCGTTGAACAAGCAGCGTGGTTGCGGTAGCGGACGTTGATGCGGGAGGAGACGCGAAGGTCGAAGGCGCGACGCGCAGCGCGTGGAAACCGCGAACGACTAGTGGGCTGATGTGGGCCTAGTGCGGGAAAGTGCGACTGGGGTGCAATTGCTCGAATGGCGCGTACTTTAGCGATTTCATGCTCTGATTTCCTTTTAGCGTTACGGCGAAACGAACGCGAACATCAACACGTCGAGCACCACTATTTTACTCGTGCAAGACGTGGACCAAGCAGTTTCACAGCGATTCCTGGGGCTATTGGCTTAGTGATGAACGCGCGAATAGAACTGCCTTTGCTGGTGTATCCTGCACGTGTCGTGCCTGCCGTCTCGCAGCACTCACGCCCCGACCACGCTTTCTATGGCTGGCTTCTTGTCTGCAGCGCCCTGTGCAGACCTCTTGCTATATCGAACTCACAGTAGTCGGCCACATACCTGCTAGCAGCTTACCCAGTATCCGCGAGGCTCCATACCATCATTCGCCACTCTGCACTTCGCCATGGACGCAAGCGATTTCGATGACATGTTGTTTGGTGAACATGACATGCAGGCCGCTCCTAATGACACGGAAGAGGAGGACTCAGAAGATGAGTTCTTGTTTGCAACTTCCCAACGGGAAAATATACCGTGGGATATGTGTAACAGCTCATCCTCAACCTCAACCAATGGCACAGCGTTGTCCGTTCAGGATGCACCTCGGTATCACCATCAGGAGCACGCTCTAGGACCCATACGTGACAGGTTCTTCAGGCGCTCTCACTCTGAGCGGGTTATGACTAACCTTGTGCAGAGTTTGGGTGATCGCTCGTATCGAAGCGATGATAGAGTTGATTGTGGATGCTCAGCTAGAGGATCATGAAGCGCTCATTATCACGCTGAAGTCCCGTGCGGCTCTGTCTCGCAGACGATCTACCACAGCCGACGGCCAAGAACAGACTCCCGAACCGAAGGAACGCGATATCAATTTTCCAGGAGCAAGTGCGCAAGAGGCATGGAACTTCAGTGTGTGAACCCGATCGTTTGTACATGTTGAGTACGTTAATGGCCGTGTAGCTGTACTAGTTCGTATACTCGAGCTTGTCCATGCCGGTCTCGTCGCTGGTACCGTCATGACGAAGAGGTCAACTTTGCCTTTGTATGATGACAACAAAAAGCTGATTTGAGGTAGAGACATGTATTATCGACATCCAGACTTGTTCATCAAGCAGTCGATAGTCGACCGATACGTGGATGACTTGGCTTGTACCTTCGGCATCACTAGATTACAATTGAACGTGGTGCGCTTGTCTCGGTCGTCTCTCTGGAAGCACAGCTGATAGCCAATTTCAGACTGCCGCCGCGAAAGGCCTGCTGGCGGGCGGCTTTAGGTTGACTCGAAACGATGGTCATCATATCAATGGCATGAGCGAGAAAGAGGTTTGACGAGCGTGCTGGCTCAGTGATACCTTCCTAACACATCAGCAGGGGATACTCGTTCCCAGTGTCAACGATAACGACAATCTCGACTTGACAGACGTGCAATGGGTTCTCATTGTCGAAAAGGAGGTATGGTCGATGCTTTGGGATCACTTATGTTACCGCTAATGCATACCTAGGCGACCTTTAGGTCATTGATGAGTTCACCACGGTGGCACACGTTGGGCTCGAGCGGAACAATACTGACTGTAAGCCTGACCGTGTCTGTTGCCAATGTCACCTAATAGTCAAGACAGGCGAAAGGATATCCAGACCTCGCTTCACGGAAATTTCTGAGTCAATTAGCTGCTAAGGCTTCTCAGATCCCCATGTATGCTCTGATGGACCTTGATCCTGACGGTATCGCCATACTATCGACGTACAAATATGGGTCTTATCGTCTTGCGCACGAAGACGTTACATCCACGGATACAGCCACACCAGGCTTGCCTAACATCCGCTGGCTCGGTGTAAAGAGTCACCACATGAGCGGGACTTCGCTAGGCGAAGTGCACACAGAGACGAGCACGAAATCTCCACTTCAAGGCCTGATGAGACTGACGGCGCGCGACCGCAACAAAGCAGCGCGAATGTTGGAGTGGAACTTGTGCGCCGAGGAGGGTCCCGAGAAGGGCTGGAGGCAGGAGCTACAGACAATGCTGATGCTTAACGTCAAGGCTGAAATACAGATACTTGACGAAATGCCAGGTGGATTGGTGTCTTGGTTGAGCGACAGGCTCAGGCAGACAACGGAACTGGTGCGCGCGCAGCGGATAGAAGGCGAAAAGCCAGACGACGGGATGCTCTTTTGAGATCTGGAGTACCGCTGCGAGGCAGATGCGCTTCCATGCGCAGGGTCCACATGTGTTACCACGTAGTCGTGCAAGACAGACAGATATCGAGCGGCGGGGATGTCGAGATTATCGTCGGAAAGATTTTAGGGTGTCAAGCCAGTGAGACGCCTCTTAGGGGCAACAAGAATATCCCAAGTCTTGCATGGCTACAATTGGGCGTCGCATCCCAAGTGGCATGCAACTCGTTCAATATGTCGGAATTTGCGTAGGGTGAAGCGGCAATGGCCCAATGATGGAAGGCGGGTGGGACAAAATAACCCGCCAAGCTTGGCGCCAGCGCATCTCCTCGATCACGGCAGCTCACCCAACAACTCAGACGGCGTCGCATAGCGGCAATGCATTGACCTGCAGCTACGGAACCAGAACCCACAACAATGGCCGGCATGTCTAATGATCCGCGCGTTCCCTTCCAGGCGCCACGGCTCCCGCACAGCGCTGCCCCTCCGACCGACTGTGAGCAACATGGCTCAGGTACCGCCGAGTCGAGTGCAATCCCACACCCACTGACGCCTGCAACGCCTGCAACGACCACCAGACAGTCGGTACCATTGGGCGTCTTCTCGACCCTCTTGGGGAACAACACCACGTCCACCCTTAGTGCCCAGCCTATACTGTCCGACGAGCCCGTCCTCGCCCACACGCAACCACTAGATGCTCCCGAGGGCCTGTCTGACTTGACGGCGAGCTCAGGCTCGGTGCCCAGTGCGACTACCACCTTGACCAACACACTGCCGCCGACCCAGTCTGCTGCACTGCGCGCCCTGAACGCCCCCGCCTTCCATTCCTCGCCCTCCAAGAGCAAGTCTGCAAAGTCTACATCCAGCCGGACCACCGTCACCAGCCAGCCCGTGGTGGTACGCACATACTCAGGCTCGCGGCACGCATCACGCTCTGGCTCCGGCTTCAACACGCCACGCTCCTTCGCCATGAATGGGCAGACACATGCGTCGGCCCTGTCAGCCGGTCTGGCAGGCAGGAGCGAGCAGCTACCCTCCGCTGACGACTTCTCTTTTTCGGCCATCCTTCGCGCGGTGGACCCTGAGATCAGAGACGCCATCGATGCCATTGCCGAGATCTGCGCCCGAAGCAGAATGAGTCTAGCCGACGAGTACGACTCTCACCTACCCCCACAAGGCGAAATAACAAGCGGGGGGTCGGGGTGGGCTGCAAGTACAGGAGCATTGGCCAGCCGAGGTCGTTTGAATAGGATCAGTCAAGGATGGACTGCCGCAGACAACACACTCATGGCAGTGCCTGAAGCGAGCAGCTCCAGCGAGCGGCTGGCGCAAGAGGGTAGGGCCGAGAGCAGTAAGAAGCGTAGTCAATCAGCATACGGAAGCTTGAAGAGCGTCATCAGTGGTGGGAGTGGTAAGCGGAAAGCCATAGATGGCGATACTTTCCGAGACCAAGAGGCTGGCAGCTCGAAACAGGTCGAAGCCCAGAACTCGGGGCCCGCTTGGGCAGTCCACGCATCCACCTCGTCTTCACACCCGGCAATCACCATTGCCGCGCCTACAGCTTCGAAACAACTATCACTCGATACATCGTCGGCAATGCAGGACGTTGGCAAGGACGCCAATGGATCATCCAACGGACGGCCTCAGACTGCAACACCACGCAGAACCCCTTCACACCACCGCGGAGCGTCTATGCGCACTCTTCCGGCATCACGAGCACGTTCTGGTACCCTTGACTCTATAAAGGCGTGGCTACCATGGCCCCGGCCGTCAGATCTCGACCAGAACAGTCGGCAGGAGCTGACAAAAGCTGAAGACCGTCTCAGAAGCATGCTGATATCATCGTCCCAAACCCTCGGGAAAGGTAAAGCAACAGTGCGCGTCATTTGAGAATCGGATCGGTTCACATCTCCAAAGCGTTGAATACTCCCTTTGAAATCGTTTGTTACATATCGCAGATACCCAAGGAGAAGCTGAAAGTGTACGAAAAGCGGAGTGGCGGATGCTTGTGCTTTGCGTAGTACTCTTGCTCCAAAAGACGCAATGATGAATAACGTTTTATGATAATGACTAACGACAACAAGTAAATAGCTCGATGCAATAGTATGGAACAATTCAAGCCTACTTACAGCCTCTGATGGCCTATCGTGGCTACCTCGTTCGGATTGGACAATCTAAGAGCTTCAACCCAACTAGCCTCTCCAAGTAACAAGTGTGCATTAAAACGTGGGGTAGCTGCTTAGCTCACTTCCATCTCCGCTCTCGTTGACGATATCAAGCATCATGAAGTAGACATCAAGACCACGATCTTCTTCAAACTTGAGACCGGAACAACACAATGACACCCAAAACAAGAGAGACGCGAGTCGACAGCTTCATTGACCCAACACTCCTCCCATCACTACACAAGCCACTCACTCTCCCCGACTTGTGCGATGACGTCTTGCTGCTCATATGCGACTTCCTGGACCACCATCACCACCAACACGGCGAAACTCCATGGAAACAACTCTAACTAGCAAATCGCCGTCTCCACGCCCTCCTCGTTCCGCGACTATTCAGAACCCTACGCATCACCGCGCCGCTCAAAGCCCTAGACACGGACGTCTTAACACCACATTTGCACCAAGCTCGCGCGCTCAAGATCGACATGTTTGGCAGTCTATGGTGGTGGTGCTCCGGCGCCTACGTGTCCAGTAGCGACGCTCTCGATCTATTTGCCTTTATGCATTCGTTACCGCAGCTAAATCGATTGGAAGTGAGGATGATGAGCCGGAGTCTGGATGTCTTCTCCGCTGCGTTTACCGACTCTTCACTTTCATCCCGATTCCCTGGATTTGAGTTGAGAGGCGTGGAGACGTTGGTTGTGAATAGCAGTGCCGCGTTTCTGGTGCAGCATTGCCCCAATTTGCAGACATTAGTGGTGAAGGGGAAGGGCGATGGTGAGGATTGTGCAATGGACAAGTATACCGAGCTGAAGGATTTGTTCGAGATGATTCCGCGGTCCAGCTTGAGAAAGGAAGAGGACGACCCATATTGCCAGTATGCAGTGGGACTACGAAGTTTTGATGGAAGTGCGGCATGGTCTATGGCCGAAATTACCTTCCTCACGACGACATTTCCGAATATTCGTCACCTCGTCTTGCGCAGCGAGTCGTACTGCTATCGATCCGATGTCGCATTGATAATGCGTACTCTGGGTCAGGGCTTGAAACAGCTCAAGACGCTGCAAGTCAGCAAGATCGAATATCTTGATATGGGGTATCGGGCGGTGTGGAAACGAGCAGTCATGGAATGTAAGACGGAAGAAGCAAGACAGGCGTTGTGGAAGGGAAACGAGAGAAGGAGAGTTGCAGCTGAAAACAACGTTGCGAGGTTAGCATTTGGTGAGGTGGAAGCACTGGAGGAGTTATGGGTGGGTGAAAAGAGGGTTGCGAGACGACATGGTGGGAACGGGGTGTGTTGGATATGGGAGCGTAAACCGGATGACACGGTAGATGCCGCGCTGATAGGGATGAAGTGGGCGGAATATCGTAAAGAAAGGGAGGCCGTAGTTGTGTCAAGGGAGATCGGGACGTAACGGAGGAGTTGAGAAGTTGGGTGACTGCAGGTAAATTTGCATCTATAGCAATTCGTTCAATCAAGAACAGATAATGAAACCCATGAAGATAGCGTCTAATGAATAACGTACATCATACCGAAGGGGGAGCACAGGTTGCCCAATGAATGCTAACTAGAGCCCACATACCCAAGAATAAGCCATGCTGTGAGTCCTCAGATGGGCCTCTGACGCCAAAGTTGATGCAACAGAACACAAAACCAACCATCGTACAGGACATCACACGCAAACCACACGTGAACCCTTACATGCAAATTACACCAGGTGAGCGGCCCATTCTACCTTGCATAACCGTTACTGCTACTCGATGGCATTGGTGACGCGGAAGCTGGTTTCCAGATCCTGATTCGTTTATCATCGCCAGCAGAAGCGAATGTAGTAGGATCCTTGGGGTGCCACGCTACGCTATTGGCGCAGCCGTTGGAGTGTGCGTCGAGAGCTTCGATAAGGAGGCCATTGGAGCGCCATATGTATATTCGTGAATCTGAAAGCGTGTGTTAGCAAATGATCCTGCATGAAAAGACGAGACAAACATACCCTCGCTGCCGCTGACTACAAAGTTCTCATCGGCGCCGCCAAACGCTGATCGTATCATGAACTGCTTTTGAGCATGTGCCTCGAAGCGTTGTATTACATCCCCAGTGTCGATTTCCATGAGCTTGATCTGATCCGGGCTTATGCTAACGAGCATATGCCGTGAATCCTGGCTGATCGTAACACTCGTCAACTTTGTACCATCAAGCTGAAACTCGGCAATCCTCTCATAAGTGGCATAATCAAACACGACAATCGCGCTCTCTGTAATGACGACTAATCGCTGGCCGTCGGATGACAATGCGAGGCCGTTTACACGGAGCTTCCCATCATCGGCGAAGTTGTGCTTGAGGTTCCCGTCGAGGTCCCAAACACTACAGCCCATGTTGTCGTCCTGTGATCCAAGAATAATCCGTGTACCGGACGGATCCCAAGCCGCCGTGGTACATGGGTAGGTGAAGTCGTTGATACATTGTATGCATACACCGGTCTGCTAGTTTTAGTCGGAGCTATCAGAGCAATCTTGCCGCCTTACCTTGACATCCCATATCCTCGCCGAGTTCTCTGGTTGCGAGCAACATGTTATTATCTTTGTGTCATCAGGGCTCCAAGCAAGATGAGCGACGCCAGATTTCCTGTGTTCTGCGAGTCGATGTAACACCTTGTATGTGTTGGTTTCGTAGATGATGATTGTCTGGTCCTCGCCTGCAGATGCAAGTTTTGTGCCGTCGTTTGAGTACTGCAAGTACCAAACCTCACCCGTGTGGTGTTTCAAATCAAGAACAGCCTTTGTTGGGAAGTCATCCCTTTCGCAGTTGTGGTCGAGATAGAGTGACGGTGACGCGGCGGTGTTGTGGTATAGGCAATTTGCGATCCAGCTATCTTTTACTTCATCTAGCAGTACTGCTAACCTGTGTTCCGGGATCATAATGCTCGGCGAAATTGATTCTACAGGATGTCAGTATGAATCGCCATAGTCTGGGACTTGGTGCTTACTGGAAAGATCAGAAAGCAGATGCATCCGTGAGTCACCGCGAGCGCCGTCCCATTGAGCTTGATTTCTGAGGTCTTCCGCAGATTGGCACATCATAAGCCTACGAAGCGTTAGCTGGATAACGTCTGATGGCAGGATGATACTTACGCCGAAAGAGCGTGTAACCTTCCCACATCTCGATGAAGCGGCGTCAACTCTTGCCGAAGCACCGCAAGTGCCTTGCTCAGATCTCTCCGTTCAAGCAACTCGAGGTACTTTTGCTGCTTCAGACAGAATAGCATCACCTCGCGGTTTGCGCCCTCGGCTAGAGTCAAGCCTGTAGAACGCTGCGAGCTGGGCTGAGATGTCGACTTTCCCCAGGGCCTTCCGTAGGGAGCGTCTAGACCAACACCACCACCGGTGTGGTGTGTATTTGACCCAAACAGCAGCTCTTCGGCTTCCTCCCAATCACCGTTCAGTACCGAAGTTCGGAATGCCGCAACTGTGGGCCCTTCGAGCTGGAAGCCGCTCTCCTTGCATAGTGCGCCCGCAGCACTGTGGTAGCCCAAGTCGGTCAGACTCTGTATCAGTATCCGCGTCACTTCTTCCCTGTCATGGCCAAAGAAAGTTGCAGGCACTGATCCCCCGTTCGCTACCGGACCTCCATTCGTATAGGAGCCATTGCTCTCGTTCCTCCCGTGTGTGCTTCCATTCGCGCCCTTGGCCAGGGGCGACCTGTGCCCCGACGACTGTGACGATCCGTTTGCGAAGTTGCGCGAGGGCGATTGTGAGGATTTGGAGGTGTCGTTATCAAGGCGCATCTTCCCTTCCTGTCTGCGCCTGCGCTTCGAGATGTGGCGGGATAAGCTGCCCCGGGTGCCGCTGGTGAGGGGCTCGTCTTCGGCGTCGTCGCTCGCAGAGAAGCTGTGCCTGCGCTTTCCGGCTGGAGTCTGGTCGGATGACAGGATAGCGGCAGCGGGTGCGTGGTTGGAGGCTCGGGCGGCGGGTGCGGGCTGGTTGGAGGGGGCAGAGATGACTGGGGAAGAAGAAGCGGGGGACGTCGGGGTGGATGGGTGGTCGGAGGCGGCTGGGGAGGGAGGGTTTGGGGCGATTTCGTCTGCCAGGACGAACGCTGGGTCTGGTTACCCGCAGATGACGCGGGTATGGGTTGGTGGCAGCGCCGTGCCTGGAGGGGTGTTGGCTTGGGGATTAGGAAGAGAGCATAGGCAGCGTCGAGGCGAGGCGCTGTGCTGGAGTGCGCGTGGAGTCGGCGTAGTAGACGGTGGAGAGGTGGGCAAGCTTGCGGAGGTGCGCTCGGAGGTTTGGAGCAGCTGGCGATGTCACGAGCCGAGCAATGACGATGCTGTCGTCGGGGCTGGGCACCTTTGATGCTATCACAAACGCTCGAGCTGCGCCAAACAGGGGAAGTCCGATAGTCGTCGTGTGCACGCCGTGGGAGCTTCTAGTGGTCGTCTTGATGGTTGTTGGCAGTTTGAGGTCCGTAGCTGGGGACCTAGGTGCAACCGGATGCGTTAAGCTCATGTGCCAAGTGGCAGCCACGATGTGCGAGAGATGGCCCAAAGCAGCGCAAGTATTACACCACAGGAAGCATTCAAGGTAGAAACGTCCACTCTCTGAGTCATCCAGTCAGTTTAAACGGCATCGTCACAACATGTTGCGTGGAATGGTCCCAGGCAGGCATGCGCACCAAGATGCTCGGGTGGATCCGCATTGTCACAAGGGACCTAATCGCGCGATAAGGGAGGGAGCTAACGCCCGCACCATGGCCGGCACGACTCACAAGGACGCCTAAGAGCTCGTCCTTGCTGCTTTGGCGTCGACTGTGGCCGTAGACGCGTCATGCCTCACTCCAGGCTGCCTTCCGGCCATTACAGACAAGGGCAACACGTCATGTGGAACAGGGTACGCGCTGTCATGCGGATCCATCAACCACCATCACCCATCAACCAACATCACACATTCTTCAAACAACCACAGATTGTTCAAAGATGACAAGATTTACATGATCATAATTTTGATTCCAACTTCACAGTAGCACTGTTACTACCCCATTCCTTCTCCTACACCCTCATCGTCGCGTTCCCGCCCGCTTCATGCTCCTTGAACCAGTTGAGGAACTGGAACAAACTCGCCTTGGGTGTCCTCTCAAGACTCGTGTAGTTCACGTACTGCACTCCGAACCGGACCGATGTACCAAGCGCCCACTCGAAGTTGTCTAGAATGGACCACCCCCATGCTCCAGTCACATTGACGCCGTCCACATGAATCGCCAGCAAAATGTTGTCTAGATATTGCTGGAAGTAGTCCGCTCTCTTCAAACTAAATGTAGGTGTACGAAGTCAGCGTAGGTCTCACATGCAGTTCGCACAGAAACACTTACTCCCAAAGCGCAGAATTCAGGTTTTCCTGAAGAGGTAAAGGTATGAAGTCAGTATATGTCTCACATGCACTTCGTACAGTCAGAACTTACCCATTGCCCTTCGAAAGGCTCTGCAAACCCGAATTCGCTCACAACAATGTCCGGGATCGATGGGAAGAGGACCTGAGTAATGTGCTTGAGGTAGCGGCGCACGCCGGCAGGTGCAGAGTAGAACCACGACATGGCTGGGTCGGCGGCAGGACCGATAGGGAAGCCATTGGGGGCTACACTTGCTGAACCAGCACAGTCAGGGAAGGACGGGTGTGACCGGTTGCTTGTGCATGACTCCAGCCCGCCATCAACCTCAAAAGCTAAGAAGCTGGAGTAGGGATCGATGGCGTAGAAGTCGCACGATCCTTTGATCATGTTCTTTTCCTCTTGTGTGAACTCGGGCAAGAGGTCACCAAGTGTGTCTTTGAGCGATTGCGGGTAGTCACCGTCAGTCCATGGCCCACCGAACCAGCCAATGCTAAAGTCAAAGTTCCGCTGGCGTGCAACTTCGTCTTCTGGTTTTGTGCTGTTGGCCTCGTAGTAGTTACCGCTGTTCTTGAAGGTCATGCGGCCGCGTCCTTTGAATTCTTCATGGTACCATTTGGACACCTTTGCGTGCGCTAGCAGTGTATGGTGGCCACAAAGGAAGCGGGCTTCATTGCCGCCTGTAACGCCTGAGCCGTGGTAAACGAAGTCAGTGTATGTCTCACATGCAGTTCGTATGAAGAGACTTACCATTTGGCGCTGGGTAGTATTCACCTGCCGGATACCCGGCGTATTGCCAATTGCAGTATTGGGGCTCATTGATCGTGAACCACTCGTCGACGTAGGCATCATACCGTGTGATGACGAACTTAGCATAGTTGAAGAAGTCATCCACGACGCGGCGGTCAGTCCAGGCGCCGTACTCATTGAATATGGCGAGTGGAGTATCCCAGTGGAAAAGCGTTACCGCTGGATGGATGCCATTCTCGTGCATGGTTCTGATCACGTCGTCGTAGTGCGCAATGGCCTCCTCATTAACCGGGCCATGTCCAAAGGGGAAAAAGCGCGGCCATGAAAAGCTAGGGCTGAAGGCTTTGACTCCTAGACTTGCTAGTCTAGCGAAATCCTGCTTATACAGATAGTAATGTTGATCAACGATATCGCCAGTGGTATTATCGGCTACATAGTTGGGAACTGCGAGATAGAGGTACGAAGTCAGCTTATCATGATGTCTCGCATGCACATCGTGTAGTCAGAACTTACCCCGGTGTGCCAGCAAATCCCAAATACTGGGTCCTCTGCCTTCATCCTTGACCGCACCTTCGATTTGATACGCGGAAGAACTAAAGCCCCATTGAAAGTTCTCGGGGAGCTTCAAGCCCTGTACCTCGGGATATCCGCTTCCTACAAGAGCGTGATAGTATTGAGGATCTGGCTGCGGATATGCGGTTGGCTCTGCTGTTGGTTCAACGGTAGTCGTGATGGGTCCTGTAGCGATAGGCCCCACCATGTCCCAGAGCGAGGCGAGTGCATTGGGTCCGAAATCAGTGCGGGTATAGGCTGTGGGCTGTGCGGAGGCGTTGAAGCTTGAGGTACTGTAGCCTGAAGGCAAGACATAAGAGATAGTAGCTGTCCCGTTGCTCTGGGCAGTGGCAGGAGCGGCGAAGACAAGAAGGCTCAAGACCGACAGTAATTGATCCATCTTGAAGAGTCAAGGTGGAATAGCACGAGATGTTGCGCCACTATGAACGGATCCAGAGACTATTTAAATAAGTACCTATGTACCTCTACTAGATCTATCCGCATCATACCGGGTGGTTTCATTGTGCTCCCCGCTGACGGAAACCTTTGATCGATGGAGATTACCCGGAAATTTTGAGCTCGGCGTGCATGGTACCCCTCAAGAAAGTGCTCAAAATCATCTTTGTGCACCCGATATAGTGGATTACAAAAGGCTACAAAGGCAATCGTTGGTCAATCCCAAGGAGCTAATGTAAGCTCCAAGCTTCGTTGCGGTATCGAATGCTCGAGCGTGAGGATTTGCACCAAGACTGCAAACGTCATCAACGGACAGGCCAGCGGAACTGGCGGAGTGAATTTCCGTGCCGAATGAGGAATAGATCGAAGCTGCTGCTGATTGATTGGTGGAGGCAAAGCTTCTCGAAGCCATGCACGGAGCTATTGCGGGGAAGCAACAACCATCTTGACTGATTGTTGAGCTTCCAAAAGACGTCGTACGAAGCTGTGTACCCAGATGGTAAGGTGAGCGGCAGAACAGAAGGCATGAACGGTCCGCCGACCGGAGCTTGGTAAGATCGGTAGAAGGAAACACGGGACGAAAGGACGCAATTTGACAATGGAGCGGTGCTGCGGGTGGAGGACACAAAGATTCTGGATACCACAGAAGGGCATTGTGTCGTTTTGCCCAGGCGCACCTTTAGTATGCAATTGTCGGGCTTGACCGAGGAGGTTTATTCAGTTCATCGCTACGTAAAAGAGACCTAGCAGAACGTCACTAGGTTCTCCGGGTATATGGTCTTCGCCGTATTATATGACGAAGGTGGGAAGTCGTCCCGAGGAGCTCATGGTGACTCGTTTTATTTAAGCCTTGCGCTGCTTCTTCGAGGGCGGCTCTTGCTCTGACTTGCGACCCTTGCCCACCAATGCACGAATGTCGACTGGTTCTTGTTCGTCGTCGTCGTCATCATCGTCACTAGCATCCATGACATCCAAATCGGACAGTTCCTCGTCGTCTTCGTCTTCGTCGAATGTGCTCTCTGTGATCCGTTAGCGACAGGATGAAGAGTAGTTAAGCGCATGCCACGTACTGTAGTACTTAATAGCGTTGGGCCACATGTCTTCGGCGAGGATGGTAGCAACCTCATCGCCGCCTGGGAAGACCTCGATCTCCTGGTAGTCTTGCGGGTCTTCTTCGTCCTCAGCCTCATCCTCGTCATCGACCTTCTCCCCTCGCCTGATCTTCTCGAACCTCTCCTTCTCCTCCTTGGCAGCCTGTGCTGACTCCTGTGCGCTGACCCAGCGATAGCCGGAGACGAAAGAGAAGAGACCGAAGAAGCTAACAGAGGCGTCTGTAGCTGTTTCGATCTTCTTGGCCAGGTTCTTATATTCCTTAGTCTTGGCCTCCTCTTTCCTCGCAACGCCGTTGGCAGTGTCGGTTGCCAACTTCTTCCTCATCTCGCCCAGCTTGTATGCCGCATCCGTGAGACCACCGGTAAGGTCCTTGTCCTTCTTCCAGTTGATTTTGACAGGCTCCGAAACTAGACCTTGCCAGTCCTTGGTCTTCCTGAACCAGAACTTCTTCTCGAGCACCTTGTCTTCGAAGTATTCGTTGTCGGTGAAGCCGAACTTGAGCGAGAAGCTGCGCGGGGAGCCATTGGGGTCGTTGAGCTCGATCCGCGACACCTCAAAAGTATCGAGACACTCGGCGAAAACCTTGGAGTCGGTGGGCTGGATGAAGTTGTCGATCTCGGGCGGCGCCTGCTCGAAGACGAGCGACCAGAAGTGCGGGATCTTTGTTACGAAGTCGGCGCGCTTCTTGTAGAGAGGGCCCTGCAGAGCTTCGGCTTGGCGGACTGCGATGGGGTTAGCAATGCGACTCCCTTTCTCGAGACGCGACGTGATGGAAATGGAATCGCAACTTACTGATTTCCTCTTCTACGTCTTCGAATTCGTGCTCAAGAGCCGCAAGCTCCTCGAAGCGAGCGACGTCTACTTCATTCATTTGGTGATCCATGGGTTTCGAGCAGCTGCCGCCGGGTGAGCAACAATCAGACACTTCAGACATTAAATCTTGGTGGAATGACGAAAGACTCCAGCCGTGAGCATTGTTTATAAAATTTCCGAACTGCTGCAGGGATGTTTGCGCGACGGGGCCCACTTAAAAAGGCGGAGGTGCTCGGCCCCACGCACCCGTGCACACGTTCATCCCGGCTTCTGCACCCTTTTGGCAGCAGAACGCATCTATCTGTCCTGCTTTGTCGACACGATAGACCGACGCGAAGTTCTATGGCGCGGAAAATCAATCTACATCGTGATTATTTTAACGCGGCAGGCACGTCAGCAGAAGGCCCTTAGGGTGGCTGGGAGTCACAGAAATGACTTGCTTTCATTCACTCCGCCACAGCTTCGCTCGTGGCAGTGCGCTCTGGTACATTCACGATAGGCAACACCCGACACCCCACAGTGCCATATAAGCTCGCTACTGCCTCTGTTCGACGATTGTAGTCATAGCAATCAGGGTCCAACGAGAACAACACGCAATCCGCTTCTACCAGGCCCGACAACGATCTGCGCAATACTCGCTACTTAGGTACCTAGGTAGCCATGGGAGGTCTCGCGTTCGCGAATGTTCCAACAGACTCCGGCAGACCCATCAAGGTCCCTCGCCTGCGACCAGCACTGTACAAGACGCTCTCCGCGCAGTATCAAGGCCTTCTGGAAACACTATTCGTACGCGTTGTCGTCCCGCGTGACGCTCCAGCCAAGACAGACCATGGGGACATCGACTTCTTGGTAGAAGGCATTCGGCCACCCAACACCAAAGAGGGGATATGGGCAGCAATACAGAAGACTCTCGACGCCGATATCCATCTCCCACGCGGCGGGTCCTCTTCCTACGCGGTGCGACATCCCGAAATACCAGATGCACACGTGCAAGTCGACGTCGAACTTTCAGTTGGAGATGAAACCCCGGAAAGCGCTGAGCTCTTCGAATGGACGCGCTTCATGAAAGGCGACGCTGACCTCGTGCAAATCATTGGCGTCTCTCATCGTCCGCTGGGTCTCACCTGCAATGACCAGGGCCTGCATGTACGAGTCGAAGAGATTGAGCCATACAACAAGAAGAAAGCACTGCTATTTCTCACAAGAGATCCAAATCTCGCGATCGCTTTCTACGGCATGGATGTCGCAAAATACTGGTCAGGGTTCAAGGATGAAGACGATCTCTTTGACTGGGCTTCCAGCGGGAGGTTCTTTTCGCACAAAATCTTCCAAGGGCGTGTCGAGAAGCACAACGATCGAGCCCGGCAAGCAAAGCGGCCCATGTACCAGCGTTTTGTAGAGGACTACATGCCAGCGCATCCCGACAGAGGTGATGCAAACACGTGGACTAAGCAGCAAGTACTGGAAGAGGCTCTTGCAGTTTTCAAGAAGCAGGATGAGTACGACACTATGATGAGGGATCATCACCTCAAGACGGCGGAAGAAGAGCTCTGGAAGGAGATCAAAGTCACAGTCCCAATACAGAGCAACTCTCTCGCTCTCGTTCTGAAGGGCTTGAGGCGTTGGGTCGTGTTCCGGGATAACGAGCCGCGCATTTCGTCTGAGCCCAACCTTGGTGAGCCTACAATCTGGTCCAAATTTGTATCGGCGGATAACAAAGACGCTGTGCTCAAGTGGGTGAAAAACAACTGGGAACAAGTCAAGGCTTTAGAGAAGGCGCGTGCGAATGCTGCCAAGGAAGCCGCGAAGGGCGCATCGTGAGGTCTGGGCCAGGCTGATGAAAGTCAAAGTAGTGCAAGGCGCACACATGACAGAGACTTATGCGGTAGTGGTACTGTAGATACTGTTTCCAATCGCGTTCACACGTGGTACTGTACGCATCTAAATTTTGCGGTTTTCGTGACGTAACGCGTGGATCTCTTAAGCCGATGGTTCCCATGCAGCTGCGGGCCTTCTTAACGCGAGCATGATCAGACCTGGCTTTGCGATGCAAATTTTCAGTTTCGTAGGGGTAATAGAATCGAGTTTCGAAGGGGTAATACGGACGGTTTTGTAGGGGTAATCAGAATACCTAAAGGTGGGTCGCATGGTCGAACCTGCTACTTCGGCCCGATGGGAAAGGGCAACTTGATCACGACGATTTGCAACATTTCTCCGATGGTCAGTAGGTATCGCTGCGAGTGAATTGCGCTACGCTACTCGCTATCTTGCCAAGATTGTGTCCCAAGGTGGCTCTTATCTTTTTTGCTTTGTGCGGTACCGGATCGTGACGAACCTTCAAAGGCACTACCTTGTCAGACGGATCTCGATCGACAGAACCCAGCTACCACTCACAGCATTGCTTGTTTCGCACCGAATAGCTTGCTCGCATCCACAAGTCTCCGCCTGACAAAGATAAGCCCTACGACAACTTCGATCCTCTAGCGCGTGGACGAGATGGACGACCAGTATCCCGAGCTGCAACTGCCAGAGTCACGGGTCTTGATCGTCATAACGGGTATATATTCATGGAGTGGACATTATGTGTTCGTCTGTACTAACCTCACTAGGCGGCACGATATGCATGCGCAAATCTCCAGACGGACTGGTACCTGCGCGGGGTTTCCTCAAAGCTGGACTTGCACCCAGACCAGTCTTCAATGATGGATCGTACCCCGAGCCTTTGGAGATTGTTACCGACGATAAGGGCACACGCAAAGCCGTTCAAAGTCTTAGAACTCCAGTCAGCACCTATGATCGCCGCGTGCGATACTGCGTGCTCGAATTTGAAAAGTTGCTCGATAGTAGCTCTATTGACTCCACTGGTTGGGATCAAATTGCCCGGACGGTGCAGCGAAACTACCAACTCTTCGATGGTTTCGTTATCTTGCATGGCACAGACTCTCTGGCGTACACGTCGTCGGCGTTGAGTTTCATGTTCCATAATCTGGGGAAGCCGGTGATATTGACGGGATCTCA